TATTAATTTAGTATTAAATTCCATAATTAATGTTAATTGAATAATTTGAATGTTGTTTTAATAAAAACTAAATGTGCATTTGGAGTTAAATTAAAGAAATGACATTAATTTGATAATGTTAAATTTTTTAAATTAATGGAATTTAATATTCTATTTAATAAAATTGAATTTCAATTTGATGTGATTTGATAAAAATAAATATAACTTAATATTAAATTAAAGAAACAACATTAATTTGATGAAATGAGATATTAAATTAATATAACTAAATGCTAAATTTGATAAAAACTAAATATTAATTTTGTGTTGATTTGATGAGATGAAATGTTAATTTAGTTTAAATTAAATAAAAAAAAAATTAAATTGATAAATTTGAATATTAAATTGATCAAAATAAAGGCTAATATAATAGAACTAAAAGGAAGTGTATTGAATTTTCAGAATCAAGAAGGTGTGTTGTTAAAATTAGGTCTATTTACAGGGTGTGTTGTTAAAATTAGGTTTATTTATAAGGGGTGTGGATAAAATTTGCCCTATAAATACTTGGGATATTTTTATAAATCAACAATCGCCATTAAAGGTGTAACCTAACAATCACTAATAGGAGTAACAGTATAATTTTAAAATCGGAAGAGGTGTCATTAAATTTAGACCTAACTACAGGGGATCTGAATGAATTTTTCCTTATATCTATACAAATTTATATAATAAAAACACACAGAAAATTGAATTTTATCCCCTATAACATTTTTCACCCCCAAAACCATCACATTTCTGTCGCATGCTCAACTATTTTGATTAATTTGTAATTTAACATAATTTTTATTTCAGATATTATCCATACACGATAGTAATATAGTTTGTTAAAAAAATTATCGATATTATATATTTTGAGAAAATTTGTCAATATCTTTAAAAAAAATAATGGATAAAAAATAAATTTTGAATGATTTAATCAAACCAATGAAAGAAAGAAAAAATATTATTTAATGTAGTGATATCGATTTTTTAGGACTCGATTTTTTTTGTTTTATCGTGCCTTTGGACATGGATTATGACTAGTATAAATATATAGATCAAGAATACCAATAGTTACACGGTTAAGGTATAGAATTAAACAATGACTTGGACTTAAAAGGATAAAATTGACCTTATAATATTGATTGAAGAAAAATTAAGATATTTTTTTTAAATAGTCTTTTATTATTAATATAGATATAGATATGTGTGTACAACATATTGAATAGGCAAGAAGAACATAGATGCACGACTTCAAAGATGACGTTTTAATTAGTGAAATACAGAAGAGTAAGAAATCTTGATTAATAATTAATTCTATTCTTGTTCTCTAATTAATATATTAATTTGTGAATTAATTGAAAGTGTAATTGATGGCGACTTTTGAGTAAAAAAAGAGAAGGTGAAAAGTCATTGCACCCTTTCAATAAATAGATAAACTTTTATGTTGAATAACATTTATAATATATTTATTCATGGTAATTTAGATAATTAAGAACATTAGAGGGTGAAAGAGAAAAACAAAATTTTTTTCAAGATACATATTTTTTGAATTAGTATAGATATAAATTTTTAATCCGTTTGCTCATTGTCTTTTCCTCTTTATTAGATTGTGCGCAAAGGTGGAAAAGAGAGTGTATGACCAAGTCTTAGAATCAAATGTGCAATAAATAGTCTTGCATTCGGTACCCCCCTCTCCCCAAACAAAACCAAATTGGATGTCTAGTTGATTAGAAAAAAAAATTGTGAATAGAAATCCTATAGGAATGCAACCAAAACAAAAGCCAATCTGGTAGGAGTACTGATTACTTGGTCAGTACTTCAACAGATTGAGTTCATACATCATTCCAACCACAAAAGCAAATAATGTGAGCTAGATGCTAGATAAATTAGCAGGGGTGACATGCCACATCTGGATCTGACATTGTTCTGGGAGTATTTTGAATCTTCAAGATGATCATTCTGCTACGCAGCACCTCCTCTGTAATACTCTACCCTTCAGGACTGTTCAACTATCCTTGTACAAGTTCTTAAAAACTCTTGCATTCCTTTCCATCCATACAGCATGTACAGTAGCAGCTAAATAGTGATTAAGCATTTTCACTTTCAAAGTTTTACCTTTCCAGTCCCTTGATGCAACCTAGATGAATGATTGCCAAGAGGTAGGCTGCCATACTGACCCACACATCTGGAAAAAATATTCATTGCAACGGTGATATCACGTCAACATTGATGACATGCTATTACCAACAAGTAATATGTAAACAAATAGGAAAACGAATCCCACACAAACTAATAACTACCTGTCCATATAAGTTAATAATTATCAACTCTTCTTCCATGTAAGCCAATAACTACTTAAGTAGAGTTTACTTTGTCCATTTGAGATTATGTTATTAGTAGGTGATACCATGTCTTCAATGCTGATATGATATCACTGTTGTATTAAATATTTTCCCCACAAATTTGTAGCATAGCACTCCACACCCGAGGTGAAAGGACACTCAAAAAACAAATGAGCACGAGTTTCATCCTCATTTATGCAGGTAGTCCCCACACACCATGCATATAAGACTTAATATGATCTTTTTGTGCTTAATTTTTCATGCATACCCAACCATAACATGAAGCTCATTCTTGGGATTGCTTGCCCAAACTAGATGAGTTTATGTCGGTGCACCTTTGGTGAGTGGGATGACAAGCAATTCCATGCTTAGTGAGACAAGAATAAACACCATGAGGATTAGGCAATCACTTGTCTTGACTACACCAAGTTTAATTTTGAATTTTAATTATTGCATTGCATTAAAACAAGAACAACAAAAAATATATATAAAAAAGGAGCAAAAAGTAGTTAGACAACTTAATAAATGAATCGAAAATAACCCATCACATATGACACAGATTGGAAAATACAGGATTCACACACCATAGGAATTCATTTATAAGCTTCCTATAAATGTGTCAGTTTTTGAATAAACAAATTCTAACACTATCCAATTTCAACACGACAAGGATCTAACACGACACAACACAACACATGCTTCCTTAACATTACCTTGTTAAGCAAAGTAATGCAAGATATAGTAGACATAGGCTGCACCACCAAGTCATCGGTCACCATATATGTGACCACCCCTTTTAACATATCCTCCCTGATCACCAGCCGATGCCACCTTGTCATGCGTCACAGCCTGCAGAACGTGGGGCACCTCAACGCACAAAGAATAGCTGTAAGAAGGACAGATGGCACACAGGTCATCAACAATGCCTAGGTGATTGTAGGGGTTTGAGCACTTGTAGAACTTCTTGACCTTGACAATTGGGACATCATCAAGCAACGTAGGTGGAGCTTCAGCAGAAAGATTTTGGGGTTCTAGAGTAAGATCTTGTCGTGATTGAGTTGCATATAGATTTCGCTTAAGTTTTCTATGATCATGTAGAGATTACCGAGGCTACCCACCATGGACTGCTTTGTCAGAAGCTTGATGACAGCCCCAACAGGTAACAAGAGCAGGTTGAAGAGGAAATTGAGGAAGTCTTTGCCAGCTTCAGCAAAGAGTACGTTGTGATTTTCGTGTCGAGAAGCTTCAAGGTCACTTTGGAGGCTGCCATTGCTGTGATCTAGGGTTAGAATCAAGAGATCCTTTGTTGATTCTCAGGTGGTTTTGGGACTGCTGCTTATAAACAGGGAATATTGAGGGTGAAATTATTGAGTGTGCTCCTGTGGGTTGGCTCAAAACCTTTTTGAAAAGTTTGATAGTACTAACTAAAGTATCATTCAACAACTGTTCTTTTTGAACTGGATTTCAAAAGAATCAATGAATTGGATCTACTAAATATTACCTCAAATTTGTACATTAGTCCCCCCCCCCCCCCACACACACACACATTATTCACGGGATAGCTAAGTAATTCTTTTTCATCCAATGAAAACAATCAATTTTACATGTTTATTTGAATTAATAAAAATGATATCGCTCTTTCTTAATCTTAATCTTAATTTTAATATTTCAATTAATGATTTTCATATTTTTGTGAAGCAAAAAATTTAATAGTTCAGCAGTGCTTATAGGCCCCATTTTTTTTTTTAGCCACACTTGCAAAATAAACACCGAGACTTGTAACCACTCGTTAACCAAGAGTCAAACCAGAGCCTTACAAAATAAAAGCAGAACATATTCATGCTTTCAGCCAAATAACCTCTTCAATATAGGTTTCATAAATCCTCAAAACAACATAGCTAGAAATCTCATTCAAAATCAACTATTGACAATATAAACTTTAGAGGGAGAGTAGCATATACTTAGGTCACTGTATCCCCAAGGAAGACACTGGTCAGCACTGACTTGGACTGCAAAGATGCCTTCAGCAGCTTCAAACCCTAACAAAGAAACCACATTCTTAATCAGCAAGACAAATATTTTCTTTTTTTCAAGAATTGCCTCAATTTGGCATTGTTTTTAGAACTAATGTAAGTTTTGGATGTATGCAACCGTTCCTTAATTACACATATCAGAATAATATAGGGGATCAAATATGGGATTTCAAAATATTAATCCGACACCCTTCCATGATGTTTGGAAGCAGGCTACTAACATAGTTTAGAGGAATCAGAACATGCTGGGCTAAAAGAGTGAACAATGCTCTCAATTCTTCACACTACCTCTCAATCCCACACAGAAATTGATACGAAATAATCATGTATAACTTTAATCTTAATGAATTCAACTCATAATAAGATCAACCAAGTAGACGTATTCAACAAATGAATAGATATGTGACTGCAACATATGATATCCAACACAACACAAACGTGACTGTACACAATAACAAACACATAGACATATGTTATGTGAACTTCTGTATGTAAAATGTGAAAATATAACTAATAATTATTTACAGTATCAAAATGCATACCTCAGTCATTCCCAAATCAACAACCCTCTCCTCAAGAGCACCCACTTCCTTAACATTAAACTTGTTAAGCAAAGTAATGCAAGAGATAGTAGACATAGGCTGCACCACCAGGTCATCGGCCACCATATACGTGACCACCCCTTTAACATATCCTCCCTGATCGCTGGCTGCCTCTTTCTTGTCCTTCGCCACAGCCCGCCCAACGAACGACACCTCACTGGACATAGAATAGTGGCAAGAAGGACACGCGATACGCGGGACATCGGTGATGGAAAAGTGAGTGCAGCTGTAGTTCGAGCACCTGTAGAACTTCTTGTTCTGAGCCACTGGGACAACATCGAGCAGCAAAATTGAAGCTTTGGCAGCGAAGGTTTGAGGGTTTAAGAGAGAGTTCTTGTCTTGGTTGGGTTGCATATAGATTTCGCTCAAGTTTTCGATGCTATCATAGAGGTTACCAATGCTACCCACCATCGATTGCTTTGTGAGAAGCTTGATTACAGTACCAACAGGTAAAAAGAGGAGGGTGAAGAGGAAATCGACGAATTCTTTGCCAGCTTCGGCGAAGAGGACCTTGTGACTTTGCGTGTCAATGAGAAGCTTCAAAGTCACTTTTGATGTTGCCATTGTTGTAATCTGGGGTTTGCAATGAAGAAGGGCTGCGTTGATTAGAGGGAGGGGTGTCAGCTCGCACCGACCCGACACAAATATACTAAATAAACTTTCTTTTTCGTGAGTTACAGCACACGAATAACAACGATACAACACAACTAATACGACATGCGGATTATATGAACACGACATGATTAACACTCTTAATTAGAGATAGGGGTGACCATGGACCGAAATACCCACGAATCTCGTTATCCACTCCAAAAAAAATAGGACTAAAATCCAATACACCCAATAATTGATCCGTTCAAACTAGAACCCAATATTTTAAAATAGAGGGTTTAGGTTTGCTTCTAAACCATTACCCGACTAGAAGCCCGGCCCAATAACCCACCCTAAAAATCCATTAAACTCTGACCCGAGATCCCGCCTGCCCACCATTTCTTTAAATTTTTTTTTTATTTTTTCAATCATTAAATTTGAAATTTTGAATTAACTTTCTTAATATCGGAATTTGAAATTTTAAAAATTTAGATATTATAAATAATATAGTATTTTCTTTTCTATATATTAATTATACAAGTTTTAAATGATAGAGTAATGCAAATAATAAAAAAATAAATAAGTGATAATCTAGTTGAAATATATTCATTCTATTAGAAGTAGTTCATCCTCTAATAAAAAATAAAATTATCTATGTATTAAATACAAGTTTTAAATAGTAGAGTAATGTAAATGATAAATAAGTGAATAGTTCACCCTCTAATAAAAAATAAAATTATCCATGTATTAAATACAAGTTTTAAAGAGTAAAGTAATACAAATAATAAATAAGTAAATAAGTATCAACCTAGTTGAGATGTATTCATTCTATTAGATGTAGTTATTAGTCCCCTAATCAAAAATAAAATTATTCATTATTTTATTTTTATCCATTTTGATTTTACTTTTAATTCAAAAATATAATTTATACAAATATTAAGTTACAAAAATATTAATTATTTTTAAATAAAGTTGTATATAAAAAAACTCGCGAGCAGGTTTGTCCAACAAGCCTGCTCAAAAAGCCTGCCCAAAAAATTCACGGGTTGGATTATGGATAGCCTATCCCTATCCTAAACCCGCCCTGTCCCGTCCGATAAATAACTTGGGTAAGACCTAGAGCCTACGCTATCCAAGTTCGATCCGAAAAAAATTTGTGGGTCTAACCCGATTGGCCCCTGGACACCCTTAATTACAGGTTTTGGTATTGCTTTGTTGCTAAGGACGACATTTCGGGCCTACTTTATGGGAAAAAAGGTGGACATTATTGGGATGGTCGGCTCAATCATGAACTCATTTGAATTTTGAAGGATTGGATTTTCTAAAACTTGTTTAGCTTTCAGATAACCAATTAAACCCAAAAAGATACCATCAAAATGCATATTATCTCTTGGATGCATGATTTCTATCAATTTTTTTAGTGAGGTCCACTTGTTTTATATTTATCCAAGACATGATATGCATTTAAATTAACTTTCATATTTTATTTGGGTCATATAACATTTTCCTTTAATAAAAAGATTTTTATAGTATTATTTTGGCATCTCAATCGTGTTGGGTTTTAGAGTATCTCTAACAATGACTCCAACTTAAATTCAAATTTGAGAAATTTTTTTTATCTAGTATAGAGTATATTTCAATAGACAAACTTAAATATCTATTCAAATCTTTCAAAAAATTCTTTCATTGTCCTAAAGCTTTTTTTTTTTTGTAATTTAAATCATGAAATTTGATAAAATAAATGAAACTCTCATATTTCTCTACAAATGAGTAATTCAAAAAAAAATTGAATATAAACACAACAACATCTTAGAATAAACAAAAACAGAAAAAATAAAAGAAAATTGTTCTAATCTCTTACATTCTTTTGTAAATCTAGATAAAGAAAAAGAAAAAGAAAAGATAATTACTTTGACAGGGTTTGGTCTAAAAAATACAAAAAATGGATCGTTTTCAACAAAAATAGATGATTGGAGAAATAAAACGACGAATTTTTTAAATTTGTGGGTAACGAAGGTTTGAAATTTCAGGAAAAATTGCTGACTTGAAATTGCACCACCGATAGTGTTTAACTCGAAAAAATCAAAGAAAATTTTGATGAAGGCTTAAAGTTTATATAGAATGAAAGATGAATGAGATTAGAGTTTTAAAAAACGCAAGAAATTAAGAAGATGGAAGATGAAAAGGAAGAAGCTTACCCAGGGGTCTTCAAAGAATTTGAATGCTTTGGTGGTGGTCACTGATGGAAGCTGTGTAGAAGAGGGAAGCAATTTAGAAGAGCGAGGTAGTGAACAAGCCGTTAAATAAGTCTTTTGAACTTTGTATAGGGTCAAAAGTTACTTTTAAAAATTTGGTATAAAATTTGAGTCTTTCTCAATTTGAGCTTAGAATAAATTTTTGCTTGATTTGGTATATGTTTAGGTCCTAGGTTGGAGAAAATTTTTAGACCATTTAGACTCAAATTTAAATTTGTCTCTAAATTAGAGTCAGGGTTAGAGATACACTTAACGGTTGTGTAACAAAAATATTTAATTCATACTCAATACGTTGGTTAATTTATGTCTAATAAATCCTGTCATATTAGGTTTGTGTCGTGTATGAATCGTGTATAACCACCATATAAATAAGTTTTGTTTTATATTTTTTTGATTGACTTCACCTATATTCGATTTATTTATTAATTATATAATGTTAGGTCAATTTATTTACAAAACAACGGGTTTAAGAAAAATCTAAATCCTATAATTTTATTTTGTAATATTTCGTATCATATTTTTACACTTCTCATATTATTATGTTTGAATATTCCAACCCTAACTTTTTCTCCATAAAGTCACACAAAAAAAGGAAGTCATAATTGAGGACTATTCCTCTTTATGGAACTATGTGATCCGAACCGTCACGATTTTTTGATCGACGTTTGAAATTGGACGACGTATATACAAATTGGAAACTTTAGGAACCAAATAGATATAATTGAAAGATTGAAAACCAAATAGACATTAAACATATACTTTGAAGACTAAACGTATATTTTACCCATTATAGGATATTAAAAATTTAAAACATTCATAATATTTTTCTTTTCGATTCCCCCGCTTTTGATTCCCAGCTGTGATTACTGTAAAATGCATGACTGGTGTTCGACAAATGATTTATATACGTACCTCAGTCATCCCAAAATCAACAATCCTTTCTTCAAGAGCACCCGCTTCCTTAACATTAAACTTGTTAAGCATAGCAATGCAAGAGATAGTAGACATAGGCTGGCACCACCAAGTTATCCACCACCATATAAGTGACCACCTCTCTAACATATCCACCTTGATCACCAGCTGACCCCTCCTTGCCCTTGGCCACAGCCCCAACAATGTAGTGCATCTCACTGGACATATCAGAACTGTGTTCAAGACAGTAAACACTCAGATCACCAGCGATGTGTTTGTAACATTTGGGACATGAATAGAATTTCTTGACCTCTGAGACATCTTCGAGCAACAAAAAATTGGAGTATCGATATCTGGTGTTGTTGAAAATGGTCTTCAATATGCACAATCACAAAGAACACTAACCCAATTTTTTCAATTTAATTGGTATTTTTCCAATAACACTAACCCAATTTGTCCCAAATTTTCTGCCAGAATTCATCGACATGTCATTGAATTCTAGCTAAATCTCCAATTATTATTCGATAATCATTGGGTAATGGATTATTATAATTTTTGTTAAAACATATAGTATCCGTATCCTACCATCAACAACCAATCCCAATTCTTCCACTCTTTTCCATTCCATATACAAATTGGATTGGCTTCTAATGGAGACGACATTAGTACTGGACGGTGCTTTGAATTAGAGTTTAAAAAAAAAGAAGGGAATCTGGTAGTAGTGAGAGCAAGTGTTTTTATAGAGAAAAATGATAAATTTATTAGTTATAATACCATTAGTTATTGCATGTGCTTAAAGACACAAAATAATAAAAAAAAATGGTTAATAATAAATATATTTATATTCACGTCTAAAATCAAATTACAAACATAGGACAAAGAAAAAAATTTAAACACCGATTGTAGTAATGGTAGTGGGAGACAGACAGACAGACAGTAATGATTGTGGTGGGTGGCGACGACTGTGGTGATGATGGTAATCATGGGTGGTAATGGTGATGCTGGCAGTAAATTTTTGGTGATGATGGTGGTAGTGACAGTTATGAGTGACGGCGGTAGTTGTTGTTGGCGACGGTGATGGTGATTGATAATGGTAGAGGTGAGGTGACGACGGTGGTGGGCAATGATGATGGAGGTGGTGGGCGACGACAAGTACTTCTGGACGACAGTATGATGAGTTATGGTAAATAGCGGTGGTGATGGTGGTAGGTGTGGTTGGGATGGGTGACAGTGGGTAGCAATAGTGATGGGTGATGACAATTGGAGGTGGTAAGTTTGCTGGAGGTGGGTGATAGTGACTGGCGACGATGGTGGACATTGATGGGTGGTGGTAAGTTTGACGGGGGTGCGCGATAATGACTGACGACGATGGTGGACAATGATGGGTGGTGGTGGGTTGTGGTAGTGGACGACGATGGGTGGTGGTGAATAATAATGATAGTGGTGAGTGTTGACGGTGATAATGATAATAAATATAAGAATGAGATAAAAATTGTGATGGGTGATAGCAGTGGACGACGGTAATCGCAATCGGTGGTGGGTGGCGATAGTGGTGGGGTGACGGCGGGGTGGTGGTGGTGGGGCTGGGTTGACGATAGTAGTGGTGGCGACGGCGACATCGACGGTGGAGGTGTTTGTGATGGTGGTAAGGTGACGACAACGGTGGTGGTGGTGGGGCGATTGGTGTGGTGGTGGAGGTGGTGATGGGGTGGCGACAGCGGCGACGACGGTGGTGATAGTGGTGATGGTGGTGGGGGTGGGGTGGTTTCAAATACAATTTTTTTTTAAATATTTATAAGTAGTTATAAGTTCTAGAAATACTTTTAAAAAATCACTCTAAACACACCCTTAGAAATCTATTTTTCCTATTAAATTTAAGGTATTAATATTAGCCGCCAGATTAACTTTAGAGTAAAATTTAAAAAGATTTCGACCGCTAAAATTAAAAATTATTTTATTTACCTTTTTGAAATTTGAATTGTATTGTACTTTATTATATAGATTATAAATTTCAATTGTTAATTTTGAAAACAAGTCATACTTCTAGTGAGCCCCTTACTAGTATGTTGCCAATGTGACCAACAGAGCTGGTCAAATAATTCTTCATTATCTCTCTTTTTAGTTCCATTATTTTAGTTCAAACAATTCGATATCTACAACATACGAACTCAAATTTTTTCGCTTAATATTTGAGTTTGAATTTTCATAACTGTAGTTGTCCAATGGAACAACTTAAACTTATTTTTTACCATCTAGAGTCTGTTGTGGAACATTAGTTTCGGCCACGATATAGATGGGGTCTGCCACAATTTGCTAAATCGTATTGACTTTGCTCCTTAACGGTTATGTATTTTGGTATGCGTGCAAGATCCTGCACAATATAAAAAATATTGGGAACAGATCTCTCCCCTGGTGAAACTTTGAGTGATCCGGTTGGGTGGCCAAACACGCTGCTTAAAACAGCCTGCAAGGTATGGTGGCAACCTGGAACGGCAAAGGAAGATCCTGGGAAAGGAAGAACTATCCTGTATGTGTGAAAGGTTTTCTTGGAATAAAGAGGAACAAGTTAGAAGGGTGCCGGAGTGTGTTCCGGCGTATCCCCTCCGACGGTCTAGTCAGTCTTTGAATGAGAGAGAGGAAGAAGAAAACACTGAGAAAATCTGTCTTGTAGTAGAGAGTTTGTGATTGCATACCCGCTTTGCCTTTTGGGAGGAGTATTTATACCTTAAAAGCTCATGATTACTGTCAGTGTGGTCAGTAGGTGATCATCAGGCACAGGTAGCGTGTGTATTGATTTGATGAGGAATGTCTTCTCTAATTGACTGCTCGGGGTCCCGAGCAATCAATGCTGAGTCGTCGGGACGCCGACGGTACAATATGCTCCTTTCGGGAAGGATGCAATAAATGCTCTGTAATAGGAGCATTTATTGCCTTTCATATCCGAACCTTACCGCATTGAATGCGGTCTCGTCAACAGAAGGGTGCAATTAATTGTTTGCTTTCCCAAAGCGCGTGTCAGCAACAGCATGCGGTTTGTCTGTTTTTGATGTGATATCATATGCCACGCGTCCATCACGTATTGGCTATGACTTCTGTATTCCAGTATGTTCTGACATTACTTGTGTAAGACGAGGTCATGATGAATAGTCTAGACTGGCATAGGCTGATGACCCGTACGTCAGTAGCTTTATCCGGGAGTAGAGGAAGCGTCCAGGACGGAGTAACTCTCGGCACCGAGGAAAGGCTCACCTCGGGGACCGAGGGTGGTATGTTTCCGAGGTACATGGCGGCCGAGGACACGTGTTGTCGTATAATACACCGAATGCATGATCCTATATGAGAGGTACCTCGGGGCGAGGACACTTGTTGCCGATGGTGCTTAAATCCGAGCAACACTGTTCCAGAAATCCCGAGGACACGTGTCTTCATCATAGGGCTTTTCAGAAGAGTCCCATCAACTGCCCCCCAGCCTTCGATCTTCTGACACCGAGGACACGCGTTGTAAGGAGACGAAGGGTTTCCCAACTGCCATCCGTCCTTCATTATGGCCTCGAGCCGCTTTCCCCGGCTTGGGATGTCGTGCGCATTAAATGCGCCGTTTCGGTTCTCCCGCCCAATGATGAAAATTTCCCCCTATATAAAGGGGGTTCTTCTCTGGTTTCCATCGTTTTGCCATTTCGATCTTTTATCCAGAGTACGCCTTTCTTGATCTTTCGCCGGAGTTCTTGTTTCTTCTGCCATCGTCGACTGCCCTTTCTCTCAAAATCACAGAGCCAGCAAACCCATTGTTGATTCCTGGACTTTCTGGTGGGAGTCGTTTTAAAGTTTTTCTGAAAAACTCCATTTTTGACGTTTCGGGTGAGTTTCACAACCTTCTTTTTTATCGTCCTCCTAGCCTTTTTGTTTTCCGATTGAACGGTGGTGTCATCCGGTCGGCACGTCTTGATTTAAACCCTCGGGGAACTTCCTCGGGTTTTCAAGAGTAAATACCTTTTCTTCCTTTTCTTTTAGAGATGCCTCGTCGTCGCCCTGCTCCCGAGAATCCACCGGCTGGTCCCTCGGGGTCAGGGAAATACAAGGTGAAAGGCGAGGAGCAGATCGATAGGTTTAGGGTCAAGTACGGCATTCCCCCGTGCGTAGACGTAGTGGATTTTAACCCATTGTTGCACTCATCTACCTTCGGGGCCGAGGATGCCATGCCTTTCTATACCAAGGCCATCATAGAGGGTGGAATTAGGTTTCCTTTACCCCCCCTGCTTCTTCAGTTCCTGTCTCGCTTTCGCCTCTTCCCCGGGCAATGCTGCCTTAATGTCTTTCGAATAATCATGGGGGTCTTAGAGCTCAATAGGCGCCTCGGGGTGAATATTGGGCTCAATGATCTCCTTTTCTGTTACTCCCTCCTTAGAGTCATGCCTCACCAACACTTCTACCTCAAAGCCAGGGACCCCTCCATGTACCTTGTAACCCATCTTCCTGACTCGGACAAGGGGTACAAGGACGACATCTTAATCTTCAAGGGATGTTGGCAGAGGGGTGTTGGTCCCGAGTACAATGACTTATTTTGCCCTCTGGAATGGAGAACGACAAGTACGTCGGTTCCTTCGGGTTCTTTATTTGTTTCTCGGGACTTCTCATGTTTATGACAATCTTTTTTGTTGTGCAGATATTCCTTCTCGGGAAACAGCTCCACCCCCTCGGTCGCTGGTGAACTTTGCCGACCTAATCACGGTTTGGAGTTTCACGGGTTCGGCCGAGCTGCTCATAATCTGCTGTACTATACCCCCGGGTATAAGAAGTTTTCACAGCTTCCTCAACCTTTCGAGCCTTCGCAGTGGTCAGAACTCTTCGATCAGGCGGCGAGGCTAGAGGCTGAGGAAAATTTGGAGGAAGACCCGGATCGGGCTTCGGAGGCAGAGGTCGAGGGAGTTGCTGAAGAGGTCGGGGTCAGAGAGGACGTTGCTCCTTCGGACGCCGAGGTGGGGACTCCGGGAGGTGACTTGTGGCCTGACTTTATTCTTCAATCTTTGGACGCCGAAGACGCTCTCGAGGAAGCGATGTCTAACGCCCCTCGCATTAATTTGGGGTTCCTTAGGCAGAGGCAAGCCCTCGCAGCCGGGAGAGGTCGAGGGACGACCGGCGGTACTCCGGCGGGGACCAGTTCCGCCACTTCTTCGAGGGTTCTCGGTCGGGGTCAGGTGCGAGACCGGGATCCTCAGGTGGAAGAGGAGAGAAGGGTCAAGCATCGGCATGACGGCCTTGGCCGGGGACCCAGGGCACCTCCCGCTCAACAGCAAAGCGGGAGGGATCGTGGATTACCCCCT